TCAATTGAGCATTTGCTGGAACTTGGAACAACCCACCCGCCTCATAATATTTTATTTTGTTTTTTTTGCAGACTTCTAACATGTCGGGAAACCAAACTTGCATTGTCCAAAACAACTAGCAAACACATGAAAACTTTGAAGGTAGCACACATTGGCATGCAATCTCTTTTTATACACTCAATTTAATGGTATTCTTCTTTCAGGCGCGCATCATGAAATGTTCCGACCTGTTGCGTTGAAGAATGTCGTCAAGCAATTTCTCCTGTACCTTTTTGCTGTGCGTTAGTGCCGTTATTTGTGTGTGTTTGTTTGTGAAAGACAAATTCATTGAAAATCCCAACGTCCTTGTTACGCTATATACATATTTACAATATCTATTTTTAAGTTTTTTTTTTATATGTTCATCGTACCAATAATGGTTTAGTTTATATAATCTTTTCTCTTTTTTCGTGGTGTGTTACGCAGAAATTAGTGCAAATGATTGTATGCAAGCAGTAGTGTGTATGCGTTATTTTTTTTTTTTACTCACTTTGCTTATGGAAACTCGTCAATTCCCTAAATACGTGTGCACAAAAGCACTCTCATTGGGGAATATACAAGTTCTCATTGTCAAAGTTTGCAAAAAAAAAAACATAGACGATGCATAAACCACACGATTTACGTGCTAATAACACTTCCACGGGTAACTTTTTGATGGCATTCTAGAAATGATAATTACAAAAAAAAACGCAAGAATGCTAAATATAAATACTTTTTCAAACTAGTCTGGGGATATATTTTGAAAACCTAATACTGTATGTATGTATTTGTCACTGTTGTCACAGTCAAAACTTTGAAGTAGTGAAGGATTTTGTTTACTTAGGATGCAGCATAAACACCACCAATAATGTCAGTCTGGAGATAAAGCGAAGAATAACTCTTGCCAACAGGCGCTGCTTTGGGACTCGGTATCCGATTGAAAAGCAGAGCCCACTCTCGACGAACGAAAATCACACCCTACAAATCTCTCGTCATGCCCGTACTCTTATAAGGCGTTTAAACATGCGACGTTCGCGTTTGCGTATTCTACGCAAGATCTATGGTCCCGGTCGCGTGGGAGACGAATACCGATGAAGATGTAATGAGGAACTGTACGAGCTTTTTATAACATTACAACATGGTTAAGTGCATAAAAATACAACGATTGCGCTGAATGGATGACTACGCTCCTGTGAAAAGATCCTTCCACTACGCACCCATGGATGGAAAACGAAAGCAAGGCCGGCCAAGAACACAATGGACGGACCAAGTGCAGAAGAGCCTGTCCGGCGAAGTTGTTTGTGGTCTCGGCCCAAACCTACAACTGGCTGTAGTAGTGCCAAATAAGAAGAATTTCGAAAAAAGTGTTGGCAGGCAAACTTTCATGCAAATTTTAAACTTTTTGTAGCCCAATCAGTTTTATTGTAATAAAGTAGAAGTTCTAAGTAGCTACGAATTACCGTTAATTTTTTTGCAATTTTCGCGGTCTTCCATACAAAACAAAAAAAATTCGAAAATACTTGCATATGTATATGAAAAAAATTCAAACAAAAAAAAATCTCAAAAATCAATACGATTTTTGACTAAATCCGAACTTGCATTTTTTATACTAGAATTTAATGGGCTACAAAACTGTATACTCGCTCCACTATATCTGCGTTCAGCCTTGTTTTTATTTTACCTTCCTTTTATTATTAATTAGCTCGGGATGTAACTATGTAATATTGATGCGCATAAAAGATGCAGCGATTTCTATTCTCAAGTTACATACCTGATGACAGTACGAATGGCAATTATAATAGGGAGGTTTTAATTTTTTAAACATAACTTTATTTTAAATATGCATAATGTTTTGCAAGCAATATTTTTTTTGTTATTTTTATACAAAAATTTTGTTTGTACAAAAATATGGTTCATGATACAAACAAAGTTTCAAACTGTACAAAATTAAGGAAAATTTGATGAAGATCATGAAAATTTTAACCTTTTAACTCGAAATTTTTTGAAGAAAATTTCTGGTATACAGTTTTATAGCCCATTCAATTTTAGTATGAACAGTTTGAAACTTGATTTATGTGGTTTTGTTTGTAGCATGAACCATATTTTTGTACAAAAATAACAACAAATCATAGCTTGCAAAACATTGTGAATGTTAAAAAAAAACAGCATGAACGAAGATTTAGTGGAGCAAGCGTACATACTGACAGATCTCTCTCAGCTCTCTCCACCGGCAAATCTGCTATTCAATCATTTCATTTCATCATTGGCAAACCGCTTGTGTGGCGTATTTAGCTCTAAAGGTGAAATTAGTCAAGAACACAGAACTTATAGTTAAACGCGCCTGTGTACGCAGAATTTTGTGGGTTATTGGAGCACTCAGTGCTGCCACTCATAAATGCCTTTTCATACACCTACCTTTTCAACTACAATTTTTCATGCTATAATAGATGCTAGCTAAATATAAACTACTTATTTTTAAACAAAAACCCTTATTCGATGGTAAATTTCAAATATTTTAAACGTATTTTGAATAGGAACTTATAACCATCTGCGAAACTGACGATGTGGCAACCATCTATAGAACGAAGAAATCAGGTATCACGAAAAAATCTAAATTCCGCAGATTTCTGCGCTACGGGCTACAACTAGGGCTTCTTCGAGTTGCAATCACAACCGCAAGTTGCGCGAATTATAAAAGTATCGCGTTCTGTGTGAATTTCTAGCAATGTATTATCAGTTGGGCAGTTGCAACAATGGTGCCATTTTTCATCAGTACGGCAGTAATGCCGCTTTTATTACGTGCCTCGAACAGGCCCCTACAGAAACATTCTGCGGTGTTGAGTTCACTTACATGGCGCTCTGGTAAGAAAGATCGTGTCAGATGACTCGGGTTTACGTACCGGTAGGTTTCCGATCTCGACTAATTTCACCTTTAACCGCTTCCGGCAGTGATGCATTTGGGCCCGAACCGTTAAGGATTGAATCACGAAATGGAATGTCAGAAAAGTTAAAAAAGCTTTTTGGTTTCGTTTTAATTAATTGGAAATAGAATTTTAAGTTTACTTGGGATGGGATATTATATGGGACGAAATGCACTAACGGAAATACAGGGTGAGAGCCCGTGTTTATCACCCTGTACTTCGGGTATTCCATTCCAATTATTTGCGGTAGTGCATTCCAGAAAATTTCCAGCAAGTTTGACATTCCATTTTGAACTGACATCCTAAACGGTTTGGGCCAATTGAGCAAATTAATTAATCCGTGGGTGTAGTTTATAGTTTACTTGGCGTTTGGAAAAGGCGAAAGAATTGTGCTCTACGTTGCTGATATCTGTGCCGTGTAAACATTCAAGTAGCAAAAAAGTGTATTAGCTATTAGCCAAGAATTTGTTGCGTTTGCGAACATTGGCGGTTGCGGCGGCAGCGGACGTATGTAGAAATTTGTTTATAATAAAAGTTTTTGAAAAGGAATTTCAATTTGCATTGATTGTTGGCATTGTGGTGTGTGCGCGAAAAAAAAAACAGATTGACCGTCGGTGTATCAAGATACAAAACACCAATTCTAAAGGGTGTGGTTGTTGTGCAGTGGTCGATTATCCAAGAGTTGGAATACATATAATTGATTAACAAATTCATAAATTTTCATATCTACATATGCGCTGTGGTTTTTGATGAAGCAGCATACGCTGGCATTCCAGGCAGCGGTGAATGGCAAACGAAAACGTATTTAAGATACTGTGAATTAATTTATGCGAAACGCGAGCGAAATTAATTGAAAAATGTATGCAAATTTGGCGATGTACGGGTTTGGTGGCGGTGATGGTAGCACGTCCGATTTTGATTGGTATTTCAGGCATTGACATTGCCGATTGGGAAAGGGGATAACTCCGCGGTAGTGAAACGCTGCGACGACCGTGCTGCTCGATAAATAAGGAAGAAGCTCAGAATAATACAAAAGATTATTTCTTTATCATAAACAAAAAGAAATGCTGTCAACGTTCCAGCGCCTGCTATGTAGTGCATGTGTAAAAACAAAAACAAAGAAGCCAGTGCAAAAGTTGCATTGACGTTGAAAGCAGCGACGCCGACTTCAGTGGTGACAGCGTACTGTTGACAGCGACTGCATTTTATTACGAACAGGTGCATACAAAGAGCAAGACGGTCGCTTTTGTTGGATGGCCGGCGTAACGAGCTAAAGCAAACAGACGTTGCAGAGACGACAACACCAACCACAAAGTTGACGAAATGTCCCGGCTTGCTGATTATTTTGTTATTGTCGGCTATGATAACGATAAAGAACGTGAGTAATTTGTCACATAAATTTTTGCATAATTAATTTTTTGTTATACATACAGTGGTGGCATCATAATTAGAGGCACAAGTTCTTACATATATTTTTTCTTTATTTTTAACCGACTAAAAAAAATGTACACTTAGATATCAATACATAGGAATATTTATTTTTATGTATGTTACCGAATAACTTTGGCCCACGTGAACCGTGATTATTCTATTTTTTCGAAAAGATTGTACGTCAAGGGTGAGGGAAGATTGTACGTCACGGGTAAAATCCTCAAAAATTGGAGCTACTTCAATTTTGCACAATATTATGATTAAAAAAATTAATGGACTATAATACAGCATACACGAATCTTTTATACAAAATTTTATTAAAAAGTATATAGTTTTAGTTTGTAAAAAATATATTTAATTAAAGAAAAAGTCGTGTTCATAATTATTTGGTCACCACTGTACATACATACATATGTATGTACCGTGTAGAACAAGAAATGGTTGACAGCTTTAAAAGATCTTAATTATTTTGTATTTTTTGTAAAAAGGGATTGTTCAACAAAATTCATTTAAGGTGGTGTTTTGAGAAAACAGCTGATTTTTTTTTTTATACGCTTGGCATGTATTTTGTTTTTGCTGTTGGTGCTAGCGCCTTGCATAAATTCGCCTCGATAAAAATATTGCTTAGATTTTTGGCTCAGTGGCATGGTTCATACTGAAATTTGAGGTCGTCCATATGGGAAAATGATCTTCATATGAATATATCAGACTTTCCCATTAGCACTGAAATGGACAATTTCGGATTTGTGCGAAAAGACTACTTTTCTCCAAGACTTTGGTCTATATTTTATGCAGTTTACTCATTGGAGAAAATTCAGCTACGTTTAATTGACAAAAGTGACTTCTTGGTGACATAATGGCCCGCTGTGCAATGAATGTTGCACTCCTTATATAATCTGCTGGATCAACCCGGACACAACGGTCGCATCCGCTTACCCGCAACAACCCACATCTACTTACAGTCAGTCAATAAAGGTTAGGTACAGTGAATTTTTTTTAAAATACGGGCAACTATTTTTAAAATATTAATTTTTCGCAAATTTTTTATAAAATTGTGGTTAATTCTACAACAAAAACCCTTAAAATCAGAGTCCCAAACCTTGTGCATAATTAAAGAAAATTCCACAAAATTTCATTCAAATATTGCACTTTTTATTTACGCTTTTTTTGTCCGCTACTGTACATATCGCACACCGTCTTCAAAAGAGGCACAACTCAAAATAATACGTTTGTCAAAAAATGCGAAAAACTATTTCTTAGCACATAATTATATGGGCAAAACCTACGGTAAGTTTTTTTTAACAAATTATAACAAAAATTTAATCCAGCTTTTGCTGAAAGATAAATAAAAGCTCTGCGTACATTTTTAGCGTATAATCTCAAAAATGCCAAATTTTGAGTTGTGACTCTTTTGAAGACGGTGTGCGTTATGTACATAGATACATCAGAATCGTTTACTTTCGTATGCAACAATTTGGTTGCTATTTTAAAATCTTTGTTTTTTTTTTATCAATGTAGTGAACAATTAGATAAATGAATTTTGTTAATTTAGTTAATTGGTAATGTTATGCAAGTCAATTTTCTGCGATATTCTAATTTGATTGTTTAAAAATTCTAGGAACTGCTGCTGGTAGCAGCCAAATGTCATGCGGCAAGATCGTGCAGCGTTTCCCGGAAAAGGACTGGCCGGATACGCCATTTATTGAAGGCATAGAATGGGTATGAAATATTTGCCAAGTGCACAAAGGCGCATACAAACATCATACATATGTACATCCATAAGAATTGTCATATGAGTAACTAAAGAACTATTTTTACATGGAAGCATGTACATATATATGTATGTGTGTATTTGTATAAGCTGAGTTTAATATCGGCCATACAATATGCTATTGTTTCAACATTTTTATTATTATTCATAAGTATGCTATGTATGCACTTATTCTTTGGCGGAAATGCTAGTAATTTACAAAATAATCATTTACATATTAAAGTATATGTATACTTATGTGTAAATGTCTCTTTATAAATCTCTCTCAAAGTTATTCATGTGCATGTATGTTTTATGTAAACGATTATCATTTTTAACCGAACTTTGTTCTTTTCTCTGTTCGCTTGTGTGACCATATGTACTTCATAAATGTGACTCAATTGCACTGCAATAGTTTTGTCAACCACTTGGTTGGGGTTTATCGTACGATAAGCAAGAACCGAAATTTTTCACTTCCGTACTCACTGATATCGATGCCAACAAGCACTATTGCGCCTGCCTTAGCTTCCACGAAACATTGGCCATCACACTTAATAAAGTCATCGATGAGGAGGATGAAGCGGCGGCAACTGTCGGCGGCATTGTTGGCTCGAAATTTCAGCCACCCATTGCGGGTAGCAGCAGTGGTGGCGGAAGTGGCAGCAATAGCATTATTTCACATCACAGCGTCATGTATGCGCCGAAATGTCTTGTGCTAATATCACGGCTCGATTATGCAGAGACTTTCAAGGTATGTATGTAGAGAATGCTGTTTAATGGCAAGTTAATGTAAACACACGCATCTAATTTTAATTTTCGTTTTGTTTACAGAACTGTCTCGGCACTATTTACACCGCATACATTGAGAATCTGCCTTACGCGCTGGAGAATCTTATTGGCAACATACTTGGCTGTATACAGGTGCCACCTGCTGGCGGTCCACAAGTACGTTTTTCCATAGGCGCTGGCGATAAGCAATCGCTTCAGCCACCACAATCACCATCGCTGCCAGTAACGGGCACAGCTGTTTACTTTGTTTTTAAGCAGTTAGGTAAGCATTGTATGCACAACTACGTGTACAAACTTATTTAGATGAAAGCACACTTGCTGTAGTATATTTAAAAATACCTTTTAATACTAATTACATATTTTTACTATTATCAATTTTACATAATTCATTGCGCTACACTTGAACATTCGATATACAAACCACCACCAAACCACAACATGCCGCTCATATGTTTTGTTTGGCGTATTCAATTGCCTTCATACGCCTGTTGATTTGTTCTACAAACTATCGCCGCTAGGTATTAAGAATGTACTTATACTGCTGTGCGCCGTTATGACGGAAAATAAAATTCTATTTCATTCGAAAAGCTACTCACATTTGACTGAAAGCTGTAAAGCACTGGTATCGCTCATGTATCCATTCAGGTAAAAACCTCATTTGAAAAGCAAATAGGTTATTCACAAGGTGTCGTAAGGTCGTATTTTCTTATGTCGTAAAGTTTTAACGGTTTAATACGTGTTAGCAGTGAGTTTTTAATATCACTTTTATGAAACTTTTCGGATGCTAAAATACGCTTTTATACGTAAAAAAGTGTACGTCATGAGACAATACGAAATTGACGACACCCTTGTGAATACCCCAATTGTACATACATACTTTCGTACGCTTTGAATTAAAGTAGTAGGCCTCATATATAAACATTCATACTTGCTATTACGAGCATTTAAATTTATATTATATAATATTTATCTTTTCTCAGATATACGCACGTTTACATTCCGATACTACCAGCACCGCTAACCGAAGTGCTATCCACTCCCACCCCCTTCATAATGGGCATACACAGTTCACTGGTGAGCGAAATCACCGATCTGCTGGATGTTATCGTCGTTGACTTAGATGGTGGTATGGTAACGATACCGGAATCACTCTCACCACCAGTACCCATACTGCCATCACCACTTTGGGAGCAGACACAGGACTTGCTGGCAATGATATTATTTCCCAATCTATCACAGGCCGATTTAGCCTTCCCGTCGCTCGAAAAGCCAACGAACTACCCAAAATCGGATGCTATTATTGATAAGGAATTGCGTGCGATTTTCATGCGACTGTTTGCGCAATTGTTGCAGGGGTAAAGTGGCTTACACATAACATAATAACATTTATTTTATATATATTCTTACAGCTATCGCTCATGTCTGACCATAATACGCATACATCCAAAACCGGTGATTACATTTCATAAGGCCGGCTTTCTTGGTGCTCGTGACTTAATTGAAAGTGAATTCCTGTTTCGCGTTTTAGACAGCATGTTCTTCACTACATTCGTAAATGAGCGTGGCCCACCGTGGCGTTCTGCAGACGCTTGGGATGAATTGTACAGTTCGATGAATGAGATTTTGAAGAGTGAGGCGCAAAATAAGAGTTTGGTAAGCTGGAGATGTTCACTATTTACAGCTTTGTAATTAATCCCTCAATTTGTTTCAGATTTCAATACACATCCAGGAATTGGGTAAAACGCTCTACGAAAACGAATTTCCCAGCCAACAAGTTTACGCACAAAAAGTGCTCCGCCCACCAGACGGTTCCTTCCACCGCATACATCAGCCTGCATTTCCACGCATTAACAGCGAAAAAGTAGAGCTAATCATAAACGATGGCATGCGTAAGAATTGCATTTCGCATCGCCTGACAGTGTTGCGTAATCAAATGCGCATCATACCCATGGGTCCACGCTTGCCCGAAGTGTTGGAAGTGCGTCCGGCAGTATTAAATTCAGCGCGACGACTTGAGGTATACATTTCCGTACAAAGTAAAGTTTACATTCTATTAAAAAAAAATATTTTCCTCTCATTTCAAAAGGTACTTAAAACTTGTGTTGCTTACATTTTTGAAAACAAAATTGCCGACGCGCGAAAGCTCGTACCGGCTGTGATGCGCACACTCAAGCATCGTGATGCACGCCTCATACTTTGTCGTGAACTATTCGGCTATGTGCATGGTAATAAGGCAATACTCGATCATCAGCAATTCGATTTAGTTATAAAGTAAGGGTATTTTTAGTTTTCTTTTTTGAATCATCAAATCATTCATTGCTTCAATATATATTTTTAATTTACAGATTTATGAACAAAACCGTGCAAAATTCCACCGGCGTCGATGAGTACACTGTTGCAGC